GAGCCAGCCAGGTGCCCCTCTGCTGTCAGTTTTAATTATAACATTTAAAATACTTTGATTTCTTCTATTTATAAAATTTTTTGTTAAGTATAATTTAGATATTTTTCTTCCTCGATTTTCTAAATAACCTCTCTTCTGTTTTCTTCATTCTTACTGTAGGTTCAGTGGTCGCCTCACAATGAGACTATTTTGGCTTCCAGTGGTACTGATCGCAGACTGAACGTCTGGGATTTAAGGTAAGTCTTGTGATGGGGCGCCTGGATGGCTCAGTCAGTTAAGCATCTGACTTCGGCTCAGGTCATGATCTCATGGTTCATGGGTTCGAGCCCCACTTCGGGCTCTGTGCTGATAGCTAGCTCAGAGCCTGGAGCCTGTTTCAGATTCTGTGTCTCCCTCTCTCTCTGACCCTCCCCTGCTCATGCTGGCTCTCTCTCAGAAATAAATAAGAACATTTAAAAAAAATTTTTATATATATATTAAAAAAAAGGTAAGTCTTGTGTTACTTTTTGTGGAGTTACTTTATTTACACTTTCCCAAATTAGTTAAGATAAATCTGTTTTAACTTTCAAAAATTTTCCTGTGCTAGTAAAATTGGAGAGGAACAATCCCCAGAAGATGCAGAAGATGGACCACCAGAATTGTTGGTATGTTACACACATGGAGTAGTGTTAAAATAAATAGTCTGTATTTATTGTTCTGTTTTTCATATCTTTTTTCCTCCCTCTTTCAGTTTATTCATGGTGGTCACACTGCCAAGATCTCTGATTTCTCCTGGAATCCCAATGAACCTTGGGTGATTTGTTCTGTATCAGAAGATAATATCATGCAGGTTTGGCAAATGGTAAGTGTTATCATTTATTTGGGGGAGGTTAGGCAAATGAGACATAGTATCACTTCATATTTATAGACTTTAACGAATTCAACTGGCATCTCTGGTTGGTTTATTCCTGAGTATGACTTTAGCACTTGGTGCACATTATCATTTTCAAGTGTCTGCTTGTTACCTTTATCTCCTTGTCCCAGTGGTGGTTCAAACTCCGGGAAACCAAACATCTCTCCCCCTTTACCTTATTCCCCTTTCCTCTGATCTTCCTGTTTTCCTGTATGGCTCCAGTGTTTCCTCTAGCTCACCCAACTTGAAGACTCAGAGTTTTCTATTATCACTAGACCTCTAGGTCTAGTTCCCTTAACCCAGTTTAACACCGTCTAACTGCAGTGTTTCTCAGATCTATGCTCCTCTTACGGATACGCACTTACATACCCAACTTTCCTGTTTCTACTCCATACCCTAGTTTTTTTTATCAAATTCTTATTACTACTTGCTAGACTATTATAAAAGCCTCCTTGCTATTGGCTGGCCTTCTGCTTTCCCCTCGTTGCTTGCAGTTGAATCTTTGAGAATGGTCATTCTTTTGAAGTGGCTCATGAACATGCCTAACATAGTTTTTACCACAGTGGCACATCGGATACCACCATTCATTTCTCCATGAAATTTTTAGTAGATTCTGAAAACATCCCTGCCCTTTATACCCCAGTTGGAGGTGATTACCCTTCTTTGAATTTCCAGAGCCCTTGGAATTTAATAAAGATAACTAGTGTTTAGTATACAGCAGTGTTAGAAACGCTTGGCCTTCTGGAGATGGATGGTGGTTGAGAGTTGCACACAAGGCGAGTGGGCTTAATGCCTCTGAACTGTACACTCAAAAATGGATCAGATGGGGGGCGCCTGGGTGGCTCAGTCAGTTGGGTGTCTGACTTCAGTTCAGGTCATGATCTCCTGGTTCGGTGAGTTTGAGCCCCCTATCAGGCTCATTGCTGTCAGTGCAGAGCCCGCTTTGGATCCTCTGTCCTTCCCTCTCTCTTGCCCCTTGCCCACTCACACTCTCTCAAAATTAAAAAAATGCTTTTAAAAAGTGGTTGAGGTGATAATTATTTTAAGGTATTTTTCTTAAATAAGTTTATTTATTTTGAGAGAACATGCGTGCAAGTGGGGAAGAAAGAGAATCCCAAGCAGTCTCTGCAGTATCGGCACTGAGTCTGACGCTCAGTCCCACAAACTGTGAGATCATGACCGAGCCAAAATTAAGAGTTGGACATTTAACTGACTGAGCCACCCAGGAGACCCAAGATGGTAAACTTTATATGTGTTTACCACAGGGTTTTTTTGGTGTTTTTTTTTGGTTTTGTTTTTTTTATGTTTATTTTTAAGAGAGACGCGGGGGGCTGCGCAGGGCAGAGGGCGAGGGAGACAAGGAATCCAAAGCAGCCTCCAGGCTCTGAGCTATCCTCATAGGCCCAACCCAGGGCTTAACTCACGAACCATGAGATCGTGACCTGAGCCGAACTTAGACTCTTAACTGATTGAGCCACCCAGATGCTCCTGAGATTAACATGTTATATAGTATATCCGTACTTTAGAATATCATGTATCAGAAAGAAATGTGCTTTGTTTTAGAAGACATTTGTGATATTTTTTAAGTAGGAAGAAAGCAGATTGTAGGACAATCACATGCTGTAACCCCTCGTGTTAAAATTATTATAGCTAGTGTTTGATTAGGGGCGCCTGGGTGCACCTGCATGCGTGCACGCTCTCAAAAACATTTTTTCTTTTTTTAAATTATATGTAAGTATATAGAAGGCTATTTGCCAAAATGTGGTTGGTATATTTAGGGAGGGTTTTTTTTATGTCTTTTTTATACTTTTTAGTAATAATTATGTGTTACAGGTGTAAACAAAATCTGGCTCACCTTTTTCCTTGTACTGTACCCACATGAATTCATATAAAAAGTAAAGACAAGAAAGTGAAATGGGCTGCCTTGGATAGCCTGTCAGTTAAAAATATTTAAGTTGTGGGGCACCTGGATGGCTCAGTTGGTTAAGCGTCCAACTTCAGCTCAGGTTATGATTTCGTAGTTTGTGAGTTCAAGCCCTACATTGGTCTCTGTGCTGACAGCTCAGAGCCTGGAGCCTGCTTCATTCTGTGTCTCCCCCTTTCTCTCTGCCACTCCCCTGCTCACACTTTGTCTCTCTCTCTTTCAAGAATAAATAAACATTAAAAATCTAAAAAAAAAAAAAATGTGTAACTCATTCCCATGGGATTGTTGTAGGAGATAGAACTACATAATCTTCAGGCCAGTTATTTCCTTTACTTGGGTTTTTTAGAATTACGGTAAAAGAAAAGAATTATAAAATAAGTATTTGGTCTTTGTCCAAGTTCCTAGCACAAAGGTCCTAAAGCCTTTGGGATTGTCTGAGTAGGAGTCTCTGTTCCTGTTCCTGTTAAACTCTGTTCCTGAGTTTAGGCTAAGGAGGTAACAGGACCCCTGGATAGCCTCAGGATGGGGCTGGCCTCCCAGAAGACTGAACGGTTGATTGGAGAACTTTTCAGTCCCTCCCACCCACAAGCAGAGGGGATTGAGCTCTGTAAAAACTCTTGAAAAGGTTCTATAAAACTTCTCGATGCAGTGAGCTTCCAAGTTGTTAAATATATCGATGCTGCCCCCTCAGAAAAACTGCATACCCATTAGCCATCACTCTCCCATCTTTCTCTAATCCACCCAGCACCAGACAACTCCCAGTCTGCTTTATGGATTGGCCTGATCTGGACATTTAATATAAATGAAATAATGCAAGATGTGACTAGCTTTTTTATTGGCACGTATACCATTTTTATTTATTCATCATTCGGTGGGCGCTTGTGTTGTTTTTACTTTTTTTATATACGTATATATATACACACACACATGTTTATGTATATATGTGTGTACATATATATTAGTATCTTATTTATTTTTTGAGAGAGCGCGAGCAAGGGAGGGAGAGAGAAGGAGGGAGACGCACAGAATCCCAAGCAGCCTCCAGGCTCTGAGCCATCAGCACAGTGTCCAGTATGGGGCTCGAACCCGTGAACTGCGAGATGAGCTGAGTCAAAGTCTGACGCTTAACTGACTGAGCCACCCAGGTGCCCCTGTTTTTACTTTTTGACTCTTGTGACTAATGTCCAGTAAAAGGGCTCCTGCAGGTTGAGTGTAAAGACAGACAGTAACCATACTTCAGTTTTGTGGGAGCGCCCTAATCGACTTGGCCTTTGGGCGAGCTGCCTGTTTTTATTGGAATACAGCCATCCCCATTCATTTTCAGATGGTCAATGGTTGCTTTCATGCAGCGACTGCAGAGCTGAATTGTTGCTACAGAGACTCTGGTTCACAATCTGCCTCTCTGGCCTGATCTGTTTCTGAAACTTTAACTTCAAGAAGTAGCCTTCGTGTTTACTAAATACCCCTTCTCTGTTTCTTGTTTTTGGGCAGGCAGAGAACATTTATAATGATGAAGACCCTGAAGGAAGCGTGGATCCAGAAGGGCAAGGGTCCTAGATATGTCTGCACTTCTTGTGATTTTAGACTCCCCCTTTTTTTCCTCTCAACCTGAGATTGATTTAACACTGGTTTTGAGACACAGACTTTGTTTGGCTATCCCTCTATGATAGGTACCATCAACAATGTTATTAGCCCAAACAGAGGGTGTTTTCTAAATATTAACTGGGGGACTTGATTCAGTAAAACCACAGACTTCTATTTAAATTTTCTTCAGGAATTTTCTAGTAACAAAGATCTAAAGTAGCCACAGAAAGGGGAATGTTGTGTGTGGTTATTTTTCTTCTTAGGCTGTATCTCCAAGTTTTTCAGACTCCTTTAAGTAAAGGCTAAAGTGAGGAAGGAATAGAGCCAAGTGAGGGAGGTGTCTGAGCCATGGAGTATAAATACCACACGATGTCATTTTTATTCAGGAAATGGGGGAGATTCAAGTCCTATAAATTCCTCTTCTGAAATCTTTACACCTGACTTTCCAGGATGCACATTTTCCTATGTAGACCAGTCTCCCCTCAGTTTCTTCAGTTAAGTCAAACCTATGTGTTCCTCTTTCCCCATATATTTTTGCTTGTTAGTGTATTTCTTGAGCTGTTTTCATATTTCTTTCCTTTCTGTGAAATGGTTTTTTTTAAAAACTTGGGACCACCAAGTTGTAAAGATGTATGTTTTTACCTGACAGTTTTACCACAGGTAGACTGTCCAGTTGAGAAGAGTGAATTGATAGCTTGTATTTGTTTTTAAAATTAAATTAATCCTGGATAAGAGTTTGCTTTTGTTTTTGTTTTGTTTTTTTGTTGTTTTGTTTGTTTTTTTAGGAGTTAGTCCTTGACCACTAGTTTGGTACCATCTCTATTTTGGGTGACCTGTTTCACCAGCAGGCCTGTTACTCTCCATGACTAACTGTGTAAGTGCTTATAATGGAATAAATTGCTTTTCTATGTAACCCCATGCTGATGGGTTTTATTTATTAGAACATAGCATTCATCAAACACCAGTCTGGATTCTCGAAGAGTTGTTCAGAGGACGGTAATTGTCTCTGGTCTTTGACTGTCAAGAGCAGAATTAAATATAATAGACCCAGAGCTATAGAAAAGAGCTTCTCTCCTTCCCAGGGAAAGTGCAAAACATAAAACACTGAACCAGAGGTACAGGATATTAGTCTTTGATAAAATCACATCTTTTTGAAGTCTGTCCCTAGAGAACTAGATGGACTTTGAAGACCGTCAAAGGCAATGTGGCAGAGAGCATTTAAGGCAAACTTTAAATTTGGAAAAGATGTTTGAACCTTTTCCCATAGAGAGGTTGAATCTCCCCAGTATATTTTTCACTGGGGCCTATACTTAGAAGTTAGAAATAATAGGCTCTTGAAAGCCTTTATCACCAAGTGCCATAACCAGATAAAATGCCTCGTTCTTTGCCAGGCACTCAATTTAACTGAGTAGATCACTCTGACCCAGAATCATTTTCACGAGACACGGTCTTTGGGAAAATCTGAATATCCTTAACCTGTAGGTTCAAATCTGGATTGGTTCCTTTTTTCCAAGTCAGGACTTTCAGCGTATAGTGGAAATGATCTTGACACAAGGAGGAGTAAACTGTACGAGTCCGCACAGACTTACACTTTGTAAAAGGATTCATCTTAAAGTCTAACGCTCATGGCACAAAAGAATTCAAATTGTAAACCCATATAATGAAATCGGCTGCCTTTTTTGACCCTACCTGTGCTCCAAAAAAGGGCTTTTGTTTTGGGTCAACACAAGGCAAGATACATTCTGGACAACACTAAAGTGTGTCCGTACATCGATCCTTTACTCTGCACGTGGGGGTTGCTGCTGCAGAACAGAAGGCTCCTTTTTTCCGTTGCTAAGTGCATTTAGCTTGGTACCAGCAGCCTATGAAATAGACTCCACCTAAACGTTGACTGATGGTGTTCTGCCTCCAGCCAGCCTTAGAATCTTTTTGAACAGGTCAGCCAGTATTTGTAACTCTCCCAGGGTGAACCGCTTGCCAAGTCCCTGGCACTCCCTTCTCTGGAAAAAAGTATGTCCAAAGGGTACTTAGTGATCCTTTGCTAAGAAGTTTTCTGTTGCTGTTTCTGGGTTACAGATTCGGCCATACGTTTCTAAACAGCCCCTGTAAAGTTGAGAAAAGAAACAGTAAGTTTATACTTTGTGCAACTTGAAATAATACAGTAGAAAGTTCATCACAACTTCTGAAGTTAAGTGCGGCTAAGTTGGGGAGAGGTTGCTAGAGTGTGATTTACATATGATTAGGAATGCATTTCCCTTCACCAGATGCCTCTTATCTGCAAAACAAGAATGAATGGTAACTTACTTGGTGGTGATGGGAGGGACTAGCTAGAAATTTTCTCTGCCCAGGTTAACCTTACATGGGTATTACAGTGACTGAATTTCTTGTGTCTTAAGATGAGTCATTGCCCTTTCCCTATTGTGCTTTTAATCTGATCCACACAAAGGTGTTTAACATATCATTTTCCTCAATTACAAGGTTCTCTAATCTCCCAAACAAGAAGTGTAATCAGTTACACCTAGATAAAGCAGGGTAGAAGAAAATGCTAGTAAGATGTGAAGAAAAGTATTGGTTATAATTGTTACTTGTGTGTATCCAAGATACAAGATTAACTAGGAAAGTAAGAATAACATTTATGGACATCTGTCTAGTATACAACTTGACGTAGACCTTTTTATCATTAATTTCTTTATCCAAGAGAATCTAGGACTTTATACGGAATATAAGAACATATTAATATATAAAGCAAAAATGGAGAGGTGTGTTGCTTGTTTCGCATATTAAGCAATCATCGGGGCACCTGAGTGGCTCAGTCGGTTAAGCATCCAACTCTTGATTTGGCTCAGGTCATGACCTCATGGTTTGGGAGTTTGAGCCCCGCATCCGGCACTGTGCTGACAGTGCAGAGCCTGCTTGGGATTCTCTCTCCCTCTCTCTCTCTGCCTCTCCCCTGCTGAGTGCTCTCTCTCACTCGAAATAAATAAAACTTAAAAAAAAAAATTCTGTCCCTCGGGCCATAAACAACACCTACTTGAGCTTTTTTTTTTCTTTAACTTCCATCTTAATTTAGCCTTCCAGCCCCCTTTGTCATAGTCTGATTAGGTAGTATAACTGCCTTCTCTGCTTTTCTAAGGAAACTTTATGAATAGCTGATGGGGTAGAATAGGCCAAAGAAAGTAATGCACAGGGCCCAGATGTGTTGTTGTCCTGTTACAGAATTCCCGTTGATAATTAGGGCGTATTTTGAGTCCTGCTAGAAACAGAAACATTCCAAGTGATTGCTGAACGCTTAAATCAGGCACTGTGGAGGTATGTATTATTCCTAACTGACTTGTCATTGAACACACTTTTTTTTAAGGCATTAGTATTGTTAAGTTAGGAAAGCGGTAACAAGGCAAACCCCACTCTTGTACCCTCAAGGATCACCTTGAGTCTGTGTCTCGACTCCACCTGCCTGAGAAGTGGGAGCGTTAGCCCGTCCCAAGTTCTTGAGTAGCATAGCCCTTTAAAAAAGAGAGATCCGTTTTCCATCTGTTCTGGACGAGCACAATTTGAAAATCATTTCCCAAGTCATTTTTTTGCTTTTCCACATTAAGGGAAATTTCCCTTGAGCAACATCTCCCTCCCCACCATCCCCTCAGCCAGTGTCAGTTAAGATCTGAGTAGCAGCAAAAACTGACTTATAAGTTGAGAGCTCTTCAGCGAGGCTGATCCTTAGCTGCTCTATCTCTTTGTTCTTCTGTTGCTGGAGCTGCACCCCGTTCCTTAACTGCCTCTGTCGTTCTTCCATTTCCTCCAGCTGTTCCTGCAATGAGAGAGCCAAGAACATGTCTAGTGAGCAGAACAACAAAAAACTGGCATTGTTTCTATAAAGCACTTTTCTTCTACGTTGTTAAATCTTCACACTAGTATAGAGGTTGAGAAACGGGTTCAAAGAAATGTTGGGACAAAGTGATCCTGCTTTTGAAAATGGTGACACGAAAGGAGTCTTGTCTGTACTGGCAGCTGACTGCTTAATAGAATCCTACAAAGGGTCGGTGGGTGCTCAGAGGGTTTTGTTTGGTTTGTAGTTGCGGGGGTTGGATCCTCTGGTTGGTGTGCTGAGAGTTGTATGGACCTCTGGCTTTGTGCAAGTTTATTCCTATTAGGATAATCCGTTTTTCTATCGTCCTGCGACTTAAAGCAATTTAAAAGAAACCAAGTCTCAAGGGCGCCTGGCTGGCTCGGTCGGCAGAGCATGCGACTCTTGATCTTCGGTTTGTGAGTTCAAGCCCCATGTTGGGCGTGGAGCCTACTTTGAAAAAAGTCAACAAGTCTTTGTAAGCAATTATTCTTAACTTTTTTTTTTTTTTTTAGTTTATTTATTTGGAGAGAAAGTGTGTGGGAGGAACAGACTGAGGAGAGAATTCCATGTAGGCTCTGCTATCAGCATGGAGCCTGATGCAGGGCTCGAACCCACAAACCGTGAGATATGGCCTGAGCCAAGATCAGGAGTTACACTTAACTGACTGAGCCACCCAGGCACCCCAGTTATTCTTAGCTATTAACTGTAATTCCAGGAGAGTTAAACTATGAGAAGTCCAGTTGTTCGTTTACAGGAAAAACTGTAAATACAAGTTTTATATTTGACCCTCCTTAAAGCCCAAAATAGCTCTGCCTGGTACTTATGTAACATCATATGCAAATAGGTGCTTTATTAGGATGTTGGCTATCACAGTTGTTAGTTTCCTATATTGTTTACTCATGACACAAAAAGACCGAAGTTGGTCCCAAGGGCTAAGCTGGAAGATGAAGAAGCTATGCCCCGGAGGCCCCCAGGAGCCTTAGGATGATTGTCCGTTTCCCATTCTGCCAAAACCAGACAGGATACATTCCATAAACTGTCTCTGCGTAGAATGAATGCCTGAGGAGTGAGGTAAGGAAGATGGCAGCAAATCCATCTCTGGCATAGTCGCTAGCTGGCGTGGATCCTTAGGAAGCATGAGGGAGAGGGGAAAGAAGGTTGCAGCTGAAAGGCCTGTTTTGAAGGAGTAATAACTTCACCTCCGATTTTGAAGAACAACGAGCCAGGCACCCAGGTTACATACATGCTGTTACTAGAAAGATCTAAATAATTTGTTCTCTAAGTCATCCTTGACATACCTGTGGCACATCATTCTGCAGCGTTTGATACTCTGGCTGAATTTCAGCGTTCATCAACCTTGTCAAAAGGCCTTCGTTCGCCACACTTCGGCACCACACAGGATGCGGCCTTCCCATCTAAGCATCTGCATTCCTCTGTGCCCCGCTCTCCCAAGGCTCCCCTAGACACCTAGCAAACCTTTATTTTGGTGAGACCTGAAAGTACATGCTTGGGAAGGCAGTCTGTACCAGCAGTGATAAACCGACCAGGGGGAGCAGTGTTATGAAATGAAGCAAACATGGCTGCCCTGACTGGCCTTCAAGACAGCCTCCAGCCTTAGTCACCACGAGGTAACTTTCTGAACCTGCTGGATCATGTCAGTCTTTCAAAGACTTTCCACCTCTTCAGTCTGGCATTCAGACCCCCTCTAGTCTGACCCCTACCTCTAATTAGAACCTCCACCGTGCTTCTGGATGGACATTTTCCTCCAGCCCGGCACTGTGTAGCATGGAGGCCGCTACTCGTCACGTGTAGCTATCAAGTGCTGGAAATCCAGCTAATCTGAATCGAGATGTGCCTAAGTGTAAGCTACACAGATTTCTAAGACGTGACATATAAAAAAAAATAAAATACCTCAAATTTTGATACTGACTCCACGTTGAAGTATTTTTATATGCAGCATTAAGTAAAATACTAAGTTCACGTGTTTTTGTTTTTTTTTAACGTGGCTACTAGAAAATTGTCAATGACATCTGTGGCTTGCGTGCTGCTCTAGCCTGACAGATTCCCAGATCTCTGTATCTTTACTCTTGCCATGTCTGTCACCTAGACGGCATCTGCTATATTACATTACGATTTATCTTCTTTTTTCTTGCGTAACTCTCAGATTGTAGGTTCCTGCCCAGCACCCAGCACATAATGCTGGATGTGAAACATGTAGATAGTAAACATTCTACAATTCAGCATCCACGACCGACCAATTTCAGCTAAAAACTTGGAGACCATTCTCAGCAAATTCCTCACACCACCCACTGCACCAGTCCCCAGATCCTACCCAAATATTTTACTTCCCATATCTCACATGATCTCGCTTTCCAGGCTCTTTCAAGAATCCATCCTGCACACCGCCATCTTTAAGAGTACGTACCTATGTGCCAGGCACCATTGCAAGTGCTTTACAAAGACTGATTCATCCTTTGCAACAGCCTTATGATGTGTATTACTAATCCCATTTTACAGTGAAGGAGCAGGGTCACTGAAGTCACTGGTCCAAGGTTTCCCAGGTGGGAAGTGGCAGGGCCAGGATTTGCCGCTGGCTCAGAGCTCATAGTTCACAGCTCTGTCGTTGCCATCATGTCTGTCAGCTCTTCGGTGGTCCTCGAACTGTTTTCCAGAAACCCCAGGAGAAAGGCATAAGGAAGTGCCCTTGTCTCAGAAAGTAGCTCCTCACTTTGACCTGTTTTATGTACTGGCGTTTCACGTCAAATTGTGTTTGGGGAAGAGGGTCTGTGGCTTTGGAGAAAACCTTTTTTTGAAAACCACTGACTTGAAGACTCCATAAAACGCTTCCCAATCCACCTCTCCAGCCACATCTATCTACTCACATTCTTCGGATCCAGGCACACGGAGCTCACTTCCCTGAACCTGTCTTTTTGTGTTTTCATGCTTTTGTGTAAGCCATCCCCTCTGCCCGGAATGCCTCTTTCCCTTGTCTACCCAATGAATTTATTCTTCAAAGCGCAGCTCAAATACCTTGTGGAGGCTGAATGTGAACTTGGGCTACACAGCACAGGGTCAGAATCCTCCTTCCATCACTTCCTCACTGTATAACCCTGAACAAATGATTTAACTTGTCTGTCTGGTTTCTGTTTTTTCGTTTTGCATACAGTGACAGTAATTTGTAGCTTATCTCACAGAAAGGTAAGGACTAAATGTATTAATACACACAAAAAACTAAAAGTACGTGCTAGCTATCATTAACTCTTAGGAAATTTCCCCTCTGTTTCCCCAGGCAGGGGTACTTATATGTACTTCATTGGTACAATGATTTCACTGATTCTATGGCTTTCACATTTTAACATTTCAGATCACGGTGCGTCTTAAAATCAAGTGTCTTCGATTTTATGAAATACATTCATTATATCTGGGATCCTTCCTGAACTTTAAACTATTTGAGGTCAGGAACTACCCCTCTCCCCCATTTCTCATCTCATCTCTTCTGCCAGCACATAGCTCATTGCCTGGCACATTGGTAAGAAGGCACAGAAAATATTTGTTGAATGGATAGATGATGGTGAGGAAAGAGGCAGAGTATACAACTGAAAGAGGGAAGTGTACCCTTGAAAAGTAGTCAGGTGCCATAAGTGACCTTTGGCGATCAGTTTGGGAAGCCATTTCAGAAGGCGGAATTCGCTCACTTAGAGACCTTGATTCCTACTTTACAACAGCGCAATAGGAGACATCCATCAAGAGTATTTTTCATAGAACGATCTTTGGAAAGCTGCACCGATCCACACATCTGAAATCCAGCACAGTGATGAAAATCACAGGGGGGAAAAATTCTACAACCCTAATTCTGTGTCCAAAAACTCCTCCTCCAGGGGTCCCCTGTTGATGGTACCGCTGTCCCAGTTAGCCTTGTCTGAAATCTTGACACCCTCTGTGACTTCTCACCCTTCCCCCTTCATTCAGTGGCCACATTACCCTGCATTTGTTCTAAAAGTAGAAAAGCAATCCTGTTGCTCCCTTGATTAAATACCTTTACTGATGCAACTGAGTACTGGATGAAATCCAAATTCCCTAGTTTGGATTTCAGAGTCCCGACATGATCTGGGGAGCTTGGGTGGCACAGTCAGTTGAGCATCCAACTCTTGATTTCGGCTCAGGTCATGATCCCAGGGTTGTGGGACCAAGTCCCGCGTCCCACTCTGCACTGAGCATGGAGCCTGCTTAAGATTCTCTCTCTCTGTTCCTCTCCCCTGCTCACATACACTCACTCTCTAATTAAAAAAGAAAAAAAAAAAAAAAGAGTCCAACATGATCTGCCCCAACCTACCTTTACAGTTCAACTCACCTTTCAATTTTTCACCGCTCACATGCAGCCAGGTTGCAGATGTTGAGTTGCTATATATTAAAATTAGTCTCACCTATTTTTAATTTTTTTAACATGGCTACTAGAAAGGTTTAATTATATGGATGCCTTGCATATTTCTTTGGGACAGCACTGGTCCAGTCATGCCCATATTTCAATACCCAGCTCAAATAACACCCATTCTTCCATGGAGTGTTCTCTGATTTAACTGATGACTAAAACTATTTCATTATCGGGGCACCTGGGTGGCTTAGTCGGTTAAGCGTCCGACTTTCGCTTAGGTCATGATCTCGCGGTTCGTGGGTTTGAGCCCCGCGTCGGGCTCTGTGCTGACTGCCAGCTCAGAGCCTGGAGCCTGTTTCAGAGTCTGTTTCTCCCTCTCTCTCTGACCCTCCCCTGCTCACGCTGTCTCTCTCTCTCTCTCTCTCTCTCCTAGAAATAAATAAAAATATTTTAAAAAAATAAAAAAAAATTAAAATATTTCATTATCCTATAGCACTCTTACCTGTACCTCTCTTAAATCACATGCTGCTTTCTCCCCTGGGATACAATTATTAATGTAATGTCTGTCTGAGTACAATTTAAAGATACAATTTATGCCAAAAAAGTAAAAAAAATAAAAATAAAAAGATCCTCTTTCACTAGACTGTTTGAACCAATAAAAAGAACAGTGGGGGAGGGGATTGAGAGTAATACACACATACATTCAATATTACGACCAAAAAGCCCCATTGCTTTCATAATACAAACTACATAAAGCTTGGCAAAAATTGGAAGTGAATGCAGCCATTTTCAACAGAGGATATGTTCCCCAAAGGATGTATCGGAATCTCTGGAAGTTTTTAAGTTTCTCCAAAGGAATGTGTGTTTTGAAAGATGAAAATACTCCTCTGAAAGGCACCACCACACTAACGTCCCCTGACAGTGGCCAGCAGCCCTTCAGTCAGCATTTAACTGAGGTCCTCTGAGCCCCAGTGGCAGGAATAAGTAAAACAATACTCCCTTCCTTCTGAAAGCTCACAGTCTGTGGGAGAGGCAGACAAAATTGTGTTTTTACCTTGTGTTTATATCCCACCCTGTTCTATAATGGGATTAGAAGTAACTTGACTACAGATGAAATGGTGATAAATGCACAAAGAAGGAAAATGAGGAGTAGAGCTTCAGAGATTTCTTCCCAGTTTGTGTGTGTGTGTGTGTGTGTGTGTGTGTGTGTTTAAGTAATCTCTATGCGGGGCGCCTGGGTGGCTCAGTCGGTTAGGCGTCCGACTTCGGCTCGGGTCCTGATCTCATGGTTCGTGGTTTTGAGCACCGTGTTGGGCTCTGTGCTGACAGCTCAGAGCCTGGGGCCTGTCTTCGGATTCTGTGTCTCTCTCTCTGACCCTCCCCTGCTCATGCTGTCTCTCTCTCTCTCAAAAATAAATAAACCATTAAAATTAAGTAATCTCTATGCCCAAATGGGGCTCAAACTCACGACCTGGAGATCAAGTGTCACATCCTCTACTGAACGGGGCCGGCCAGGCGCCCCTCATCCCAGTTTTAAAACTGGGAAGCTTCAAGACGGAGATCAGATAGGTGAGACTTGAGGGTGAATATGCAGGAAGAGAGAGGATGAAAATCCCACCTCGCCTCTTGCTCTCTGTACCCGAGCATGATTCACCAAGGATTGGAAAGCTGCCGTGGACAGTGCCCTGAAATATTTCGGGATTGGTCAGGCCAGGGTTCATAAACCGCCAGCTCGCCGAGCCTGTTTCCTCATCTACGCAAGCGAGAACACTTGATTTGGAGGATTAACGAGAGGACCTGGTGACTCACGGTCAGTGTCAGGGCGCTGCCTACATTCTCAGCCCCGAGCACAGGCCTGACTGGGTGGGAGGAGGAGTAAAGAAGTGAGTGCCCCCCCCCCCAAGGAGTGAGCGGTTCCTCGTGCGGAGGAGGGCATCCTTCAGACCCGTGACCCCTCCGGTCACCTCTTCCTTCCCCAGGCTAACTGTCCGCGCCCAAGGGCCTACCCTGTACTGCTGCACCTCCTCATCTCGTTTCTGCTTCACGAGCGAGATCTGGTCCTCCAGGTTCCTGTTCTGCAAGTGGAGCTGCCGGGCCTCTGCTTGCAGGGGTCTCAGAGCCTCCTTCATCTCCTGGATCTCGGCCTGGGTCTTCTGCAGCGCTTTGGCCGCAGCGTCTTTCCTCTCTAGGAGCCGCAGCAGCTGAGGCTCATACTCTTCCTCCAGGCCCTGGCGGCTCTCTGCCATGAGGTTCTCAAACTGGGCAGAGAGCCGCCGGCTCTCCTGGAGGAAGTGCCCGTCCCTCTGGCTTGGAGGTGCTTCTAGTTGTTGCTGTAACTGCTCCTTCTGCTTCTGATAGGCGCCCCGGAGCTGGGCCAGTTCGTCCGAGAGCTGGGCCGCCCGTGTGGTCAGCGCTTCCCGGAGGTCGGCGAACTGGGCCACGTCCTGCCGGCGGCACTCCAGCTGGTACTGGTCGGCCACGCACTCCTTCGTCACCTTGAACAGCTTCTGCTTGACCAGCCGGACCTCCTCCCTCAGCCCGTCCCTCTCCAGCTCTGCCTGGGCGTGCAGTTTGTAGGCGGCCAGGATGTCCCGATGGGCCCGCTGCACCTCCTGCAGGGCTGGTTCCCGGAGCAGCACGAGCTCGTGCACGAGCTGATCCCTCTCCTCCTCCAGCTGGGCCACGGCTTGGATGCATTGCTGGAAACGCTCCTCCAGCAGTTCCAGGTCCTCTATGCTCAGGCTCTCTGTGCTGGCACTGGGCCCGGCCTGGAGGCCCTCCCCGGGGCTGGGGGTCTCCTTGCGCGAGGCCGGCGCACCCCCTCCCCCGTAACTGGTCTGCTCCGGGCCTGCGCTCTTTGCTAGCTGCGTGGGCTCGTCCACGCACAGTATCTCCTCTGGCTTCCCAGGCTCGTCCACCTCCAGGACCTCCCCCGGCTGCCTGGTCTCCTCGATAAACAGTGTCTCCTCAGGCTTCTCCGTCTCTTCCACGTAGAGTGTCTCGTCGAGGTCACCTGTGTCCCCCAGGTAGAGAATGTCCTCTAAGTTCAAGGTCCCCTCCAAAGACAGAGTAACTTCTGGGTTCAAAGTCCCCGCCTCATGCGGGGATTCGGAGCTCTCTTCAGGAGAACTGGCTTCTGTTCTTGTTTCTCTGCAAGAGAAATGACATAAGTCAGGGGGCGGCCGCAATCCTGGGATGGGTCCCGATGGGAGCCATCAGGGTTTTTTCAGCGCCTCACATCTCAGAGGGCACTGGGCTGCTCTCCTTCCCCCGCTCCGTCAGTCTAACCCCGCACACCCGTGTCTCAGATCCCCGCACAACATCCCCATGGTGTCAGTGTCTGGCCTCTGCTTACATACCTTCAAGTCCAGGAAACTCACATCTGAGCCACCACTATTCGTTCCACTGTCATAAGAACATTCTAGTGGTCAAGCAAGACCTTCTCTGCAATTTTTACCTGGACTTGGTTCCTCTTTCTGGAATCAGACAAATCTACTTTCTTGTGCAAGTTCTCTAAACACCGAAAGAAAACTAACATCCTTCCATTATTCCATGCAAGCCAAAGTGTCCGGGGCCCTCCTCGCTTGGGTCACTTCTTTCTGACTAGGTTCCAAATTGTCACTGACCCTTGGGGATGGGTATTGGAAGCAGTGTCCAGGTGTGTTCTGAGCAGGCTCTGGACACTACGTTTCTATTAATAAGGCCAATATTGCCGATATAGGGCAGCTCTATCATATTGACAAATGCTGAGTTTGACTAAAAGCCTTAAGACCGTTTCACACCAAGTGCTTTTATTATTTTTTTTTAATGTTTATTTTTGAGCAAGACAGAGCACAAACAGGGGAGGGGCAGAGAGAGAGGGAGACATGGAATCCATAACAGGCTCCAGGCTCTGAGCTGTCAGCACAGAGCCCAACACTGGGCTTGAACTCACAAACTGTGAGATCATGACTTAAGTCGAAGTCGGACACTTAGCCGACTGAGCCACCCAGGCACCCCTCACACTGAGTGCTTTTGTTTATTTTTTTCACACTGAGTGCTTTTAAACCACATCTCTTGTTCCTGTAAAACTTCATTCATCTTGTTAGAATTGGCCCATCCACTGGCCTGTCAAAGGCTCTTGAATTCAGATTCTGTAATTCTGACAGATCAGTTCCTTAACCTGGCTGCCAGCTGCCTGCTAGTATAACCGGCTCCCGTTAAGGAAAATTCTCCTGCTTCTTTGGCCTTCAGATGGCTTTGGTCCTTCCTGTTACAACTCATCCTGCCCACCTTGGATCTCTGGGCAGTTCTCTGAAAATATAAAATACCATGGAAATAATAACAATAAATTACACTTATCAAGGTCCTATTATCTGCCAGGCTCTGTTCTGAATGATTTACACCAATTCATTTAATCCTCATAACATTTTCATGAGGTATTATATTTATTATCCCCATTTTACAGATCAGGAAACTGAGGTTAAAAGAGATTAAGTAATTTGCTCAAGGAAACTCAGATACTCCATGGGCACCAGTTATAAAACAAATTAAATTTGAGAGGCGCCTGGGTGAGTCAGTCGGTTAAGCGTCCGACTTCGGCTCAGGTCACGATCTCACGGTTTGTGGGTTCGAGCCCCATGTTGGGCTCAGTGCTGACAGCTCAGAGCCTGGAGCCTGCTTTTGATTCTGTGTGTGTCTCTCTCTCTGACCCTCCCCTGCTCATGCTGTCTCTCTCTCCCTCAGAAATAAATTTTTAAAAACATTTAAAAAATAAAACAAATTAAATTTGAGTATAGCTTACAAGAAATTTCTTTTCGATATAAAGCATAAACGAAAAGCCCCATGTATCACAGAATTCATCTGTCTTGAAATGGCCTGCCTGTGCCCAGGTTTTAAGCTCGAGATCTTAGCTCTAGTTTCCCACTACAGATTATTTTTATTCGAAATAATTGTGTATCCTTTCTGTCCTCTCTAGCACCCCACGAATCCCTAGTTCCCCGTTCTGAGTCTCACGGTGGCCCTCTGGCAACCACAAGTGTGGCTTCACCAGGCCCCCGACATCACTGGCCTCATGCAGCCCAAGCGCCTGCACCAAAATCTAAAAGCTTGGAGGCAGCCTCAACCACCACCCTGTCCGTTCCCATTGCTTTACCACAAAGACTGGTGTCACCCGGCACCTCAAACTCAACCGCCCCCAAATTATCCTTCTCCCTGGGCTTACTATACCTGTACTCTCCCCACACAACAGGTTGATGAGGCAAATAAACTTTTTTTTCCCCTTTTATTTTTAAATTTAAATTTTAGTTAGTAGACATACAATGCATTATTGGTTTCTGGAATAGAGAATTCAGTGATTCATCACTTACATACAACACCCAGTGCTCATCCCAACAAGTGCCCTCCTTAGTACCCATCCCCCATCTCACCCATCCCCCCTGCCTCCATCAACCCATAGTTTGTTCTCTACCATTAAGGGTCTCTTACGGTTTGTTCCCTCTTTTTCCCCTCCCTTCCCATATGTTCATCTGTTTTGTTTCTTAAACTCCACATATGAATGAAATCATATGGTATTTGTCATTCTCTGATTGACTTATTTCACTTAGCATAATACATTCTAGCTCCATCCACGTCATTGCAAATGGCAAGATTTCATTCTTTTTGATGGCTGAGCAATATTCCATTGCATATATACATATATATGTGTATGTATATATATATACCACATCTTCTTCCCCCATTCATCAGTGGATGGACATTTGGGCTCTCTCCACAGTTTGGCTATCGTTGATAATGCTGCTATAAACACTGAGGTGCATGTACCCCTTCGAATCTACATTCTTTTTTATCCTTTGGGTAAATACCTAATAGTACAATTGCTAGATCATAGGGTAGTTCTATTTTTGAGGCAAATGATCTTTAAACAGCTCTTTTCCTCCCCCACATAGCCAACTCACTGAGAACTGACCTATCTCAGAAAATCCCCAGTCTCCACCCCCTCCTCATCCCTTTGCCTGGGCCCTATTCGAAGTCATCATCGCGCACCTGCACCCGTGTGCCAGCCTTCCGACGGGCCTCCTTCCTTCTCATGCCAGCCTATTCCCTACAGTGCCACAGCTCGCCATAACATAACCGTGTCGCACCACATCATACACAGATAGCCAGCTGCTTAGCATAGATTCAAAGCCCTTAAAGACGAGGCCCCAACATACCTTTCCAGCCTCATCTCACACAACCCCCCGCCGCCTACCCAGAGCACCTGTTAACACTTTTACACTTCCGGCTCCTAGCCCACTACATCTAAAGTACCAGCTCAGAAAATACAGCTCAGTGCACACCATCTGATTAGAGAACAATCCTGCGCACCTGGAAAGGTAGAGCTCCTAGCGCCGGAAAGGATGCACCTGCTCAGCCAGCCAGACCCACCTTGATCTTCAACCGAGCCCCTGCTTTCCCAGCAGACGGCCCTCACAGGCTCCTGCTGAGTCCTCCGCCCTGGAATGACGCAACTGTGTCCAAGGCAGTGTTCCAAGTATTCTACATGAATACGCCCGTATATGATGCTCATGTATTAGCCCTGTTTTGCACATGAGGAAACCAAAGCACTGAGTAAAGAACTCAAGGCTCCACAACGTGTAATTGGTGGAGCCTGGAGAAGATGGCATCTGGCTCCAAAGCCGGAGGCGCTCCTTTCTACCACTCTGTTCCCAGAACGGGCATGAGTTCTAAAACTGGTACAAAGCTGCAGTAGGTCTAACGGAGCCTGGCACAGAGCATTCAAAATATACTCCTTTGGGGGCGGCTGGTGGCTCAGCTGGTTAAGCAGCTGACTTTGGCTCAGGTCATGATCTCGTGGTTCATGAGTTCGAGCCCCACATCAGGCTCTGTGCTGACAGCTCAGAGCCTGGAGCCTGCCTTGGATTCTGTGTCTCCCTTTCCCTGACCCTTCCTGTCTCTCTCTCTCTCTCTCTCAAAAATAAACATTAAAAAAATTAGTTATAAAAAATTTAAAAATATATACACTCATCTACCTACTCGTAAATTTCTACTCGTCTTTCAAGCCCCACTCAAACTGCATCTCCCCTCTGAAGTATTTCGCAGACAAATCCATTATTGCGTTCTCCAGGCACTTTGTGTGCAGCTCATCTTTGCACTCAGTGCTATTACAGCAGTGAGCGTATCCGCGTCCCCTGAGAGTCCACTTCCTAAGAACAAGTACAGTTCTCATTCTCTGTGTATCCCAGGGTGGGGCTCTATAGAAGGCAGGCAGGCAAGAGACCGACTGTGATCCAAGCAGGACACCTGCCCGAAGTCAAGTGGAAAAGCTGGAAGTAGAACCCCGGCCACCTGACTCGCAGGCAGCGCCCTTACCACACACTGTTGTTGCCTCCCTGTCGCCCCCCACAGTGCCAGGCCGCTGCTAAGTGCTGCCCTCATGGCGGCTGCCTCTCTCTACGCAGCTGCGGAAAATAGGGTATGGGAGGCTGAGGGGCATGGGAGCCGGCTCAGCCGGGGGGGCCCCCCACCTCAGGCTTCCTTGGACTCCAAGCCGCCTCCCTCTGCCATCCATCCCTGGCCCTAGAGACTCCAGCAGCTCCCAGCTCTGTACATCAAAGGTCTGTGACACGGAGCAGGCACGCGCTGGTGTGTGTCTGACTCTGTGTGTATCTGTATGTGCATATGGCAGTACAGGTGACGGACTGTGTGTGCAAAACTGTACTCAGCTTTGTGCTGTGTGTGACAGTGAAGGGGTGTGTGTGTGTGTGTGTGTGTGTGTGTGTGTGTGTTTGCACTTCCACCTCTTAAGAACTATGGTCTGACCTAGGGCAGAAATAGTCCCTACTGGCCCCAAATCCCTGAGCCACAGCCCTGCCCCCCCAACCAGTGACAGAGTGGATGGCTTGGGACAGGACTTCTCTCCAGGGCCCCCAAAGGTCAAGCAAGGCCCTCCTACCCTCCCCACCCCCCATCCCAGGCCTCAGACTGGAGAGAACAAGCTGCCAGAACGGGCTTTTAACTCCAAGCTGGCAGCTGCCCAACCTTGCACCAAGTCCCTTCCAATCCGGCAACTGGAGGCCTCCATCTCCAGTTGCATTTGGGGTTAGGAATGAAAGAAAGCCAGTAGCGTCCTTGGCCACTCTGGCCCAATGGCATTTGCCGGTGGATGCCCACCAGTCTGAAAGGGTTAATCCTCACCCAGCCCGGGAGGTGGGGGGCGCTATAAAAAGCCACAGACAAACGGAGGTGCAGGGACCCCGGGCCTCCCCCATTTCCCTTGGCCGGTGGCTCCGCCCAGTGCCCACGCCACACCCGGGCTGGCCGACCACCCCAAGCCGGGCGAAAGGTGATCGCGGGGGTGGGGTGGGGGGCTCGCCCAGAGCCCCCTCCCCACAGCGCGGCGACGCGGGCCCTGCACGGTCCTACCTCGCGGCCTGGGCGGCGCCGTCCCCCTCGAGCCGGGGCTGCGGGCTGGCCATGGCTGCGCGACCCCGGGCTGGGCGGCCGCGTTATTAATAGCCGGCCCCGCGGGCCGCTCGCTCCGCGCCCGCGCCCGCCGCACTGGCAGCTGCCGCCGACACCGGATCCCGCCCGCCCCGGGCCGGGCGCGCCCACTTGGCCCCAGCTCCAGCCCGCGGGAGGAGGGAGCGGGCCGCGCGGCCGGGGGCGGAGTGGGGGGTGGCCGATCGGCGTCTCCCAAACCCCGCGGGCCCCCGAGAGCTTCCCGAAGCTTCTTTCTCTCCACCCATTCCTTCCAAGGGTCCCAGCTGCGGGGGGCGGGGGCAGGGGCAGTGGAGGAGGCGGCTCCGCAGCCCCAGAAGAGCACTTCCCTTGCCCGGGGTCAGCAGGGGCGGTCAGGGCAGGGGGCTGGGGTGGGGGACTGAGAGGGACCCGGCACCCCAGGGCGCGCAGCTCGGCGTCCTGCGAGCCCCAGAGCCCCACCGGCGCGGGGCGGGGGTGGGGGGTGGGGGGAGGCCTGAGCGCGGTGCCCCGCAGCTGTCCTGAAGGGCTGGGGGAGGAGGGGTCACGGCCACACCCGGAGCGTTTGGGGATAGTCGGGAGCCTGTTGGCGGGGGCTAGGGAAGGGCGGTGGGAGGACTGCGTGGGAGGGGGTTAAGCCTCTAAGGTCAAGTCCAGATTTAACACCAATGTCCATCCCCACGCTGCGGGGTTTCCTGGGGTCTCTCCGCTTGCTCCACCTGTCACCCCGACCCAGCCGCGCTTCTGTCCACTCCGAGGCATGCCCCCTCCCCCAAGGCTTTAGCCCATTAGAGTCAGGGTCAAATTTCAACACTGAAGTCTTTCTGCCTAAGCCAGAGGCTGCCGGCCCCTTCCCAGACCTGGGCCTCAAGCATTCTCCCTTCCGATGCCTTTATTCCACTTAACCCCTCTGAGGAGGTCTTTGACTCAACCGCACAAGAATGCTGTGTACTGTAAAGAGCCATGGGCTGGATGTGTGTTTAATCACAGAGGCCTTGAGTGTGGGGTGGGGGAGGGGCAATAGTGCCCTGGTGCTGAATGTGTGTGGGTTGTGTGTTGTGATCAGTGTGCCCACTGCAGGCTGTGTGAACCCACATGGTTGTGTGTGTGGAGGGGGAGAGAGTGGGATTGTGTGCCCGTGTGTGACTCGGTGACGATCGTGGGGTCCGTGTCTGTGTGTGGGCATGTGGTTGTGGGCTTGTATAATCTTGGGGGGTGGGTGGGTGGATAGAGAGTGACTATTATGAGTGGTAATCCGTGGTTGTGGACTGTTGTGAGTGTGTTGTGATGTACCTGTATGGGCCTGCGTGTTATTGTGTGCCCACGAAGGACTAGGGCTAATGCGTGTTAGTGTGGCAGTGGGTGCGGGGAGTGCCCTTTGTGTGTGACCCGGGGCCTGCGGACAGGTTCACTAATCCGTGCATCTGAGTGTGCCGCATGTGGCTGTATATTTATATCTCTCTGTCTAATGCAAGGGGCTGAGAGATTAACACCCAGGGTAGCCAAATACACCCTTGTAAGGCATGCATTAGAAAAAGCCGGGTTTTAAGGAGGCGGCTGGTCATTTTCTGACTTACCCCTAAAATATTCCAGGGGAGGAGGTTGGCAAAGCCTCAGCTGCTGGTCATTTGACAGCTGCTGCCAGTCAGGGGAGCTGAGGGAGCCAGGGTGAGGCCTGTGGGGGGAGTGCTAGAAGACAGGCAGCAAGATTGGCCTTCCTCCTCCAATCCCCACCCCCCAGCCCAGGAGCTGACCCTGGGCTGTCCCCAGAACCGAATTCCTCACCCCCTTTAACCTTCCCTAAGACCTTCCTTAGGCTGCAACTCCAAATCTCTCAGGGTCCCAGAAGCACTTCCACCTCCACACCTTAGTTTTTGCTGTTCCCCTCTGCCTCGAACACCCTTCCAGCCCTTCACATCCCAGTTTCTACTCTTCTTTTTTTTTAAATTTTTTGTTTAATGTTTTATTTATTTCTGAGAGACAGCATGAGCAGGGGAGGGTCAGAGAGAGAGGGAGACAACAGAATCTGAAACAGGCTCCAGGCTCTGAGCTAGCTGTCAGCACAGAGCCCGACATGGGGCTCGAACCCACGAACTGTGGGATCATGACCTGGGCTGAAGTCAGATGCTTAACCAACTGAGCCACCCAGGTGCCCCCAGTTTCTACTCTTCTTTGGGTCTCTGCTTACATGTCATCTCCTCAGAAAAGCCTTCCCTGATGTCCCCGTCTCCCAGCATAAATATCTATACAGACACTATTTCTCCCATTGCCTTGTTTATTTTCTGTACAGCACTTATTACAATCTGAAATACTATTGTTTCTTTTCCGTTCCTTTTCTGCTTTCCCCACTAGAACGGAAGCCCCATGAGAGCAGGGACCTTGTGTGTCTTGTTCACTGCTGTGTCCCCAAGGTGCAGCACAGGGCCTGGTGCATAATGGGATCTCAAAAAAAAAAAAAAAAAAAAGTTGAATGAATGAAAGAAAGCAGAATGGTCCTCCCTAGGCTGTTTCAGACATTAGATGCCCGCTGTGTGCCACGCCTGTGCTGCTGACCACCAAGGAGCCCCTGTGTACTTCCGGAAACAGACATTCACATGTGCTTAGATTGCATATACCAAGGCTGAGCGAGGTATGCGGGGACACAGGACATGAGGTATGCAAGAACTGTTGTCTGCAGAGACAAACCCCATGCAGAGAATAATGGCCACTGAGGCTGCGGAGAGGTGTGCTGGGCAGGGAGAACCGGGGAAGCCAGAGTTGGGACAGATGAACTCCAGGAGTGGGGCAGCTGCACAGACAAAGTAACCTGGACCTGGAAGGAGGAGAAAGGGTGCTGGTGTCCAGCACAGGCTCCTTTGAAAGGCAAGCGTAGCCCTTCTGTTTCTCGGCCCCTCCGCAAAGTCAAGTCCAGGAAGAGCAGAGAAGGCCCTGGACTGGCCGCTCTTTGCCTAACCACTGCTCCCTGCCCACCCCACCCCCCCCCACCCATGCCTCTCTGCTCTGGGGTTGACTCTGGCTGACAGTCTCACCTGGCCCCCTCGCCTTAGGGTTTCAGGTAGAATTGGCCAGTAGGAGACACTGACAGTAAGATCGGTGCAAAGGAGGGGAGTTAGACTGAGATATTTCTTTCTTTTTTTCTTTTTTTTTAAGGTTCATTGATTTCACAGAGACAGAGTACAGGCGGGGGAGGGGCAGAGAGAGAGGGAGACACAGAATCTGAAGCAGGCTCCAGGCTCTGAGCTGTCGCCCGATGCGGGGCCAGAACCCGCAAACCGCGAGATCATGACCTGAACCAAAATCGACTCTCAACCGACTGAGCCACCCAGGCGCCCACAAACTAACACCCACCTCCCCCTGTGATTTGGGGAGTTACTGTGTTCCTCCACTGAAAGCCACATCTCCTGTGCAGCAGCCTGCACCCATGGGTACAAAGCTCGCCAGGTTGCCAGGTTCGTTAACAAGGTTCCCTCCTTGCCCTTCAGGTAGTGGTGGGGGCGGGGAAGGGTAGTGATTCCATCCCTCGGTTGTGAGCCCCTGGGGGCTTCAGCATATCTGTTCACACCTCTGTGAATAGTTCCTTCATTACATCCTCTTCCATTTGTGGCTTTGTGATCCCTTTTTCCTGCTGAGACCCCTAAGGTAGGAACTAGGGGGCAGGGCACCTGAGGGCCTCGCTAGGTTAAGCATCTGACTAAAGCTCTGGTCATGATTTCACAGTTCATGAGTTGGAGTCCTGCATCAGGCTCTGTGCTGACAGCTCAGAGCCTGGAGCCTGCTTCGGATTCTGTGTCTCCCTCTCTCTCTGCCCCTCCCCCATTGGCGCTTTGTTTCTCTTTCCCTCAAAAATGAATAAACATTTTGGGGCGCCTGGGTGCCTTAGTCGGTTAAGCGTCCGACTTTCGCTTAGGTCATGATCTTTTTGTTCGTTTGTTTGAGCCCCGCTTCGGGTTCTGTGCTGACTGCCAGCTCTGAGCCTGGAGCCTGTTTCAGAGTCTGTGACTCCCTCTCTCTGACCCTCCCCTGCTCACGCTGTCTCTCTCTCTCTCTCCTAGAAATAAATAAAACATTTTTAAAAATTAAAAAAAATGAATAAACATTTAAAAAAATTTTTTTAAAAAGGAACCTAACCGAGAGAAGATGAGCCCTTGGCAGAGAATTCAGAAAGACCTTCTTTCTAAATTCCTATCCAAAACTGGAATCAGAAAAGTTGTAAACTGATCAAAATTCCATCCTAGGTGAACAGTGACCTCCTGGCCACCACTCTGGGCAGGAGTCCAACCCAAGAGGTCCCTCTTAGCTCACCTTACTCAGGCTTATGCCTGTAGTTACCTTGGCCGGGAGGACAGGGCTGGGAGAGGGTTGAAAGTGGAGGAATGGTGGGGGTGGGGGGGCGGGAATGACTGGCAGAGGGAGGAGCTTGGAAGTAGAGAGGCACAGGGGGGTCGCAGAGGGGGCGGAGCCTTGTCAGCAGCCTCCCCCGGACTCCAGGGCATGCCCTATGTGACCTTGGGAAGCCAAACTCGCTGAACCTCAGTTCTCTGTCCGTGAAATGGTCAATTAATACCCTCTTCACAGGATCGTTGTGGAAAGCAATCCAATGTGAGGTTCAGCGCGCGAGCGGGTGGAGTGAACTTGCTCCAAAAGCTGAGAGTAGCACATTCCCCATCATTACTGGTGTAGGTAGAGGCCATTCTGCCAAGTTTCTGTGTGCCAGGAGCTCCCATCTAGAGGTGGGAGGGGGATAGAAGAGCCCACTGCTTCAAGGGCGCCCGGGTACAAACCCAGGCCTAAAACCTGCCTTTGTGATTAGTCACCGTGGGACCTCAGAAAAAGCATTCTACCTCACGGATGGTTTTCCACTCTGTAAAATCAGATAACACGTTTTACTTCATAGTGTTTGCTGTGATGATGATCTGAGAACACAAAAAGCATTTAGGCTAGTACCTGATGCATTCTAAGTGCCCAAGAAATATTAACTATTATTTTAAAAATTTTTTGT